AGGCAGTACATCCAGGATATATTTTTTAAACATTTTATTTTAAATACTTTATTTATTTTGTGTGCATTGATGTTTTGCCTGCATGTATGTCAATGAGAGGACACCAGATCCCCTGGAACTGGAGTTACAGACGGTTGTGAGCTGCCATGTGGGTGCTGGGGATTGAATGAGGTCCCCTGGAAGAGCAGCCTGTGCTCTTCACCACAGAATCATCTTTCTAGCTCCAATATTTATTTATTTTTATTTTATATGTATGGGTGTTTCCCCTGCTTGTATGCCTGAGTAACAAATACATGCAGTGCCTGTAAAGGCCAGAAGAGGGTATAAGATCCTCTGGAACAGGGGTTACAGAAGGTCGGGAGCCACCATTTGAGTGCTGGGAAAAGGAGCCTAGGGCCCTTTGGAAGAGCAGCCAGGGTTTTAACCACTGACCCATCTTTTTGACCCCAGGACTTTCAAACTTTAATGGATGCCTCAAACTAGCTAAGCAACAGTACACAAAGCTTTTAGTGGTAATGTAAAATTGTTAAAACTATTAAATTAATCATATCTAAAAGTTGTAAATTAAAACTACAGCCATAAGAAATTTTATCTAGCTTGGCATGGTGGTACAAACTTAATCCCAGCAATCTGAGAGGCAGAGGCAGGGGGATCTCTGTGAGTTCAAGGCCAGCCTGGTGTACATAGTAAGTTCCAGGATAGCCAGAGCTATGTAGAAAAAGACCTTGTCTCAATAAGACAAAACAAAATTATATCTATGATACATACGGGCAAAGGCATGAGACAAATCATCTTGTCACACTGGCATACTTATATCACAGATGATTTTATCTCTCTAACCTTAGTTTATATACTATGTGTAACACTTTCTCTAACCTGTAAAAACAGGTGATCCATTAATGTAAGTGGGAAAAATGTGATCTACTGTTAAAGCAAAGATAAACCTAAAACAGAAGAGTAAAATCAAAGACTGGATCTTAAGTCCATGTGTGTGTATATTCATACCCCATATATAATATATACATATATCCCACCACTTTCCAGATCTATTTATGCAATTAGTGTTTAACTAAACATACAGACATGTTTGTTCTTAAAATATATTTATAGGGGTCTGCTTTCCAGAAGTGTGAACTGTTTAGAAAGCACTGTGGGACCTTTTAGTGGAACTCTACACCAAGTTCACAATCTATACTCTAGCGAGCAAAATTGCTGTGTAGAAGGAGGTGATCTAAAGTAGAGCATGGTGGCATATGCCTGTAATCCCAGCATTCAGAAAACAGAGACAGGAGGATCACAGCAAGTTCTAAGTCAGGCTAACATACAAAATGAGTTCCAGGCCAGCAGGGACCACATTACAAGACCCTATCTCAAAAATCCAAGACTTCCACCTCCAGTCCCCTGAAAAAGAGAAGAAAAAGAGATATTCTAACTAAAGTACTCCTAACTAACAGAGCTAGAACATCAGGTAATCTTTTACAAATGTGGCCCAACAGTTAAGCAGGTATGCCTATTTTTAAATGCTTATCTTAATTTTCTATCAACCAATTATGTAAATTACACAATTCTAAGTTCTAGTTAGAATGTAAAATTGGCCACACTATTCAACTGAAATATCCATGGAGTATTTAAAAACAAGAAAGGACAGTGAGAGAAAAGACACTGTCTGTTAGCCATGTCCTAGTGTATGAGGACAATGGCCAGTCTTTGGCTGGTTAATCTGAGGAAAGAGAAGCAACAACCTATCTTGAGGCTGCTATGAGGCTTAAGAAAGATACTGACATGAAAGGATTCTGCACACTTTAAAGCTCTACACAAATATGCGAAAACAACAGTAGAAAACCAGCTCCTGATCTGTACCATTCCAAAGAAACAGTCAGACAGAGTCATGGCAGTGTTCCGGGATTTTTTGATTTCAAACAACAGACTTGAATGTAGAAATAGCATTATGGTACATTAGTTTTCTGTTAGGTATTGGCAACTGTTATTTTAAATCTAGTTTAGATAATATTTCATTCATTCTAAAAAGTATTTAGGAATATTAGTTAAACAAAATAAGAAAACAATTATTTTAATTACAAAGAAAAAATATGGTTAAAAGTTACTAGAAGTCAAACAGGTCACAAGAGGGTAAGTATCAGTGAACTCTAGAAACCAATGTAGAAGGTCAGTACCTGGAGCACAGCTGTGCACGTGGCACTTTAAAGGGACAACATCAACATACGTATATTCTCTGTATTGAGTGCTTTCCAGCTTACTCAATATAAGTAGATATGTATGCATCCATGTGTATACATATTCAAATATTGCTTATAAATAATTTGCTTTCCAGAAAGTGTATACAAAAAAATTTAAATAAAAGGAATCTGAGGAAAGTTTTTATTTTATTAAAAGATACACTAGAATTGTTTCATGTTGTGGACTGCAGATTATTAAATATTCCTGTTTAATAACAGATCTGACACACTGAAACCAATGCCAGAGTTTTTAGAAGCCAGAAGAAACAGCATTTGACAGTGTCCTTTTATATTACCAGGTCTTAAGTCTAAAGCATCATGCATATGAAAATGCAAACCTTTACCTTCAACATCATCTGAAAAGGTAGATGAAAATAAATAAATAAGAAGCAGGTGACAAGGAAAACTATTCATATCTATCTGTATAAACACAGAAGCAGATCAAGTCAGCAGTGTAGTTCTTGGAAAATGAGATTCCATCATTTAAGGCAAACAGCTGAGGAGCATCCAAGACACATGGAATACACTATATTATTAGGGCTATGAGGCAGATTTATCACTAACGGGTTATAAAATATTCCCAAAATAAAGAACTCTAAATAATTTTTAGGTCACTGGAGAATTATCTTGCAGTAAAGCATTAAAGAGAAGGCACTGAGACTACAACTCAAGAATACATTTCTTAATATCTAGTTTTTAAAAATTTACTCACTTAACTGAAGAAAAAGTCCCTAAAAAATTACTCTGCTACTGTTTATCCAAAGTTGTTTTCCTATTTTATCAAAGACTTTTGAATGATGAATTAAAAATAAAGAGTACAGAAACAGGCACTGTGGCACCTGCCTAAAATCCTAGCACCCAGGAAGCTGGTGCACAAAGACTGGGTATGGAGGGTCAGCTTGAACTATGTGGTGAGTTCATGCCTCAATAACACAGTGAAAATGTCTCAAAAAATGCAAGTAAGTACAACAAAATAATCCCAAATACACACAAGAAAAAACCACCTCCCATACCAAATATCTAAGAAATGAAGGGGTTTTAAGTCATTTTTTTTTTTTTTTAACAAGTGTGCTGAGTGGCTGGGCATGATTTAGCACGCCTTTAATCCCAGCACATGAGAGGCAGAGGCAGGAAGATCTATGACTTTGGAGTCAATTTGGTCTACAAAGTGAGTTCCAGGACAGCCAGGACATAGACCCCTGATGCAAACAACAAAAGGTATGTTGCATTTAATTTTCTAATCTGATAAACACTAGGAGAAGCAAGTACCTTTTCTTCAAGAAATATTTTTGTGTATATGTTTAAGCGGCTATGTATTCAATTTCCTTTTCTACAGAAAATAAATTATGTTTACTAAATATTTTTGCCCTTTAGAAATTAAGAAACTTCTAGGCAAGGTATACCAGAGAGAAATAAAATTGTAAAAAAAGTGTACTTCATTCTATGGGACCATGACCACCCCCACGTCACTCCAACACTCACACTACCAGTAAGTACTCTGTGGGTTAACAAGCACATGCTTTTCTGCTCAACTGTTAACAAAATATGCGTAAGGTCAATATTTATTTATAATTTTTGTTTTGTCATACATCAGCATAAATTAGAATTATAAAACACATGAGTATGTCTGCTTTTTCCTCTAAAATAATGGAAACCCCACTAATGTCTTACTGTAACCAACATTGGCTATGTAGAATATTCTCAGTAGCACTAGGAAATGTTGCTCACCGAGGAAATTTTCACTATTTACACAACAAAGGTACAGACATCCAACCAAGCCTCTCACGAAATAACAAAGAAAAATAATTTTAAAAAACCTTCCTAAATTTAGTAAATTGTTGCTCTTTACAAATTAACAAAGTCTTAGGAAAATAACGGTTTAAGTATTGGGAGAGAGATTCCCTAACTTGGCTTCTAACCCTTAACAGGCACAAAGGTAATAACACATACAGGGATCAACCAACAATCAAAGGGATTATTGAACTCTGCAAGGCTAGTAAGTATAGTGCTTAATTACAACCCAAAGAGAAAACGCTTAGGAAAGAAGGACCTGCAGTGTGGTGGCTCACCACGCCTGAAATACCAGCACTCAAAAGTAGAGGCAAGAGTATCTTGGGGTCAGTCTGGTCTATATAGTGAATTCTAGGACAACCAGAGCTACACAGTGAGACCCCGTCTAGAAAAACAACAACAAAACCCAAACACATAAACAAAAAACAAACAACGAAAGAAAGAGAACAGGATCTGGGGGAGGTGAGTGAGGTGAAAGAGAATCTACTAAAACACTTTTTATTTGAAATGTCACAGTATCTGAAGAATAAGCATTTAAAAGAAGGAAGGGTGTAGGTGAGAAGTGGTGGAACCTGTAATCCTAATGTTCTGGAAGTTCAGCAAGGAGACTGAGCTTCGCTTAGCCCAGGCTGCATAGTCCCTGATTTCAGGACAGAAACCACACTCCACCTTGTCATAAGGCTCAGATCACACACTGAGCCCTCATCCTTCACCGTAACTTAACAGCTTGGATGACACACTGAGCCTTCATGCTCCACCGTATCCTAATGGCTCAGATTACACACTGAGCTTCATCCTAGATACTACTCGGGACTAAGGGTAGATCTTTACTATACTGATTAAAAGAGTAACTTAAAAAGAAAACACCTACAAACAACGAACAAGTTTATAAAATAATGTACTCAACTTTAAAGCAAAATTGGCATAACCTAGTTTATATATAGAAGCACAGTAAAATAACTGGAAACTTACCTACTTCTTCCTCTTCATCATTAGATATTATATTATAGAGTGTGTCCAAAGCATAAGCTATTATTTCAGAATCCGAACTGAAAAAGAGAAATTATTATACTTACAGACTGCTGATTGGATTTAAAATGCTGTGTTCAATTCTAGGTAGTTCTTCCAGAAGATCAACAAAATATTCATTTCTTATCTACAAATCTTATCTAAGAAAGTAGTAGGAAAGGAATGTGTACAGCTGGGCAGGGTGGCTCCTGCCTGTAATCTCAGTACTCAGGAGGCAGAGAGAATAGGAAGGTTGCAAGTTACAGACCAGGCTGGGTTACATAGTGAGACCTTTCTACACCATCATCATCATCATCACCACCATCATCATCATCTTCATCTTCATCATCCTCATTCCCACCAGACAATAAAATAAGAAACTACATAAAGATTTATTGAGAATTATAAAAATTAGGGGCTGGAGAGATGGCTCAGTGGCTAAGAGCAATGACTGCTCTTCCAAATATCCTGAGTTCAATTCCTAGCAACCATATGGTGGCCCAAAACCACTTGTAATGAGATCTGGTGCCATCTTCTGGCCTGCAAGGACACATGCAGTTAGAACACTGTATACATAATAAAGAAATCTTTTTAAAAATTGTAAAAATTGCTGGGCAGTGGTAACACACACCTTAAATCCCAGCACTTGGGAAGCAGAGAGCCAGTCTGTTCTACAGAGTGAGTTTTAGGACAGCCAGGTTATACAGAAAAACCCTGTCTTGAAAACCAAAACAAATAAAAGAAAACAAACAACAAAAAGAAGAGAATTGTAAAAACTGAGAAATCAACTTGTCTAGTTAAAAAATAACACACATAAGACAGCAATGAAAAATGTATCTTAAAAGAATATGCGCTGGGTGGTTGTGGCGCACACCTCTAGTCCCAGCACTTGGGAGGCAGAGGCAGGTGAGTTTCAGGCCAGCCTGGTCTACAGAATGAATTCCAGGGTAACCAGGGCTATTACACAGAGAAATCTGCCTTAAAAAACAAACAAACATCTCTCCCTCCCGTCCCGAAAAGAATATGTGACAGAATGATTATTAAACAAATCCTAACGCGGTGTCAAGTAGGGAAAAAAAAAAAAACCCTAAGTTTAAAAACGGACAGACAAAGGGCTAGAGAGAGAGTTCAGAAGTTATCAGAAGTTAAGATCATTGGTTGTTCTTCTAGAGGACTCTGGTTCAATTCCCAGCACCCATAGGGTAGCACTCAGCTGTCCTTAATTCCAGTGCCAGGGGATCTAATGCCCTCTTCTGACCTCCATGGGCAACAGGCACACCATGGTGCACAGAGATACATACAAGCAAACATCCACATCCATAAAAAAAAAAAAAACTTTCAAAAAAACTAGACAGGATAATTCCATTTAGCAAAACATGAGTGTATAGTTATGTGTATGTGTGCATGTGTTTATTTTTTTTAGATGATACAGGAATTCTTGTTTATAATTTGATGAAACAATGGAGCCATCTAGCTTAAATGCATTCAAAGACAAACGTTGGACTAATTAATTATGAGAAAATAAAAAAGTTTTAGACTTGAGCCACCTGTTCCAATAGAAAGGGAAGGACTAATTCACTACCATGGAAGAAATGAACTGGGCTGCAGTCTCGGTTGATATTTCTACTACAGCCAAAGAGGCCTTCAGTCTACTTAGTTAAGCCACCCCTCAATCCCCACCCAGAAACTATGAAACAATAAATTTTAAAGAACTTTTTCATATTCTGTAACACAGCAAAAAGCCAGGAAAATGATTTAAGGGATGGATACACTGAGGGTTGAAAACATGCTGCTTTTCTTTGGCTTACAGGGATGAATTCTGTAGGGAGTTTCTAGTTTTTAACACAATGAAAGGGACTTTTGATTGGGATAAATTCAGAAGAAAACATAGCTGAAGTGGGTAGATAGGCAGAAGTAGGAGGACCAGGCAAGAACTGAGGCTCTGAGATCTCTACCTGTCTACTCCCTGCAGCAAAGCGCCATGTCAGCTTTTATCTGGGTGTTGGGAACGGGTACAGCAAACACTTGTCTCCCTAGCCCTGGGTCTGATTTTGAAGTCCTATGTGGGATCTCAGTGGAGTAGAAATGTGTGACAAGCAACTAAAGCTCTACAGACATTTTATCAGAGGCAAGATATAAAAACTATTTATGCACAAGCAATTAAAACAGAAAATACAGACAAAATGTCCTAAAAACAAACAGGCTGTTATCACTCTCTAAAGACATGCCAGATTTATAACCACTCCTGTGCATTTACTGTCCTAAGGGGAAAAAGTCTATTTAACTTACATACTGTAGCATATATTTCTGCAAATGAGTATCAGTATATCCATTTACCCAATACAAATCAAAACCTTAAAGCCATTATAATTAAGTTACAACATTACCCACTCCCCGCCTTTTTTTTTCCAAGACGGGATCACACATAGCCTAGACTGGCCAAGAGCTTGCTAGGAAGCTAAAGATGACCTTAAATCCGAACTGTCCTACCTGCACTTCTTAAGTAATTTGATTACTTGTGTGCACTACCACATCTGGTTATTCTATCCTACTTTTATGTCTCAACTAATGCTTAGCACAGTGGCTTGTACCTAGTATCCAATAAATGTTTACTGAAATGAGAACTAAGAGTAAAAAATGTAGTAGACTTAATGTTACTATCTTCTGGAATGATGATGGTTAACTACAGAACAAATTAAAAGTTCAAAAAAAATTAGAAGAAAAAATCAATACCAAAACTTACCGATCCGTTTGTAACACATGGATAAGATGTTCCATAGCCTGGATTCCCACTTCCAAGCGGTATTTCTACACAGAAAACAGGAAAGTGTTATTACTAATTATTACCAATGCTCAACTGAAAAAAAAAAAACCATAGTAATTTGGGGCTGCAGAGATGGCTCAGTGGTTCAGGGCACTGGGTACTCTTCCAGAGTACCTGGGTTTGAATCCCAGCACCCACACAGCAGCTCACAACTTTCTGTAACTCCTCCACCTTCTTCTGGCCTATGTGAGCACTACACATGCAAGTCATGCATATATGCCTGCAGACAAAACACCCATACACGGGGGGTGGCGGGGAGGGAGGGAGAGGCAATAATTTAGTTACAAACCTTAGATAATGATTTAAGAGCACGCACAGCATTCCTTCGGTCATCCAGTAAGGTAGATGAAGCTACTCGGTCACAGAGCTTTTGAATCTATCAATAAAAAATAAAACAGCATTACAAGAAAAAAAGGAAATCAAGTTTCGTACTCCCAAAATTATACCAGTCAATTCTGGAGAAAATCTGCAAATGGGACACTGAGGAAGTGGTCTTTCCCAGGTCTATTTATTTAGGTAGTATTATCAAACTATAGCGGCCTCCCCCCCCCCCACGAGACTTGAAAAGTGGGAGGGGCAAGTGAGAAGACACATAAGGAAGTCAAGGCAGCTGAGGAATAAATGAAGAGAAGTCATTGGTGGGACTGGAGCACTGTAAACGTGCTTATCAGGATGACTGCAACCGAGAGGGGTCAAATCCAACAGGTTATGGTATATTATTAACATGTCACTGTGCTACCTCCATTGTGCAACTATGCACTCACTGTGTTAAGAAAGTGCAAAATGTGGACAGAAAGTTTTAAATTTTAAAAGTGTTTTTAAAACTATTTTTTAATTTTATCTGTATGAGTATTTGGCTTGCATGTGTGTCTGTGCACCACTCACCCATCTGGTACCTAGGGAGACCTGACGCAAGCATCAGATCTCCTGGAACTGGAGCTACAGACAGTTGTGAGCCGCCTTGTGAGTGCTGGGAATCAAACTTTGATTCTCTGGAAGAGCAGGAAGTTTCCTTAACTCCCAAGCCATCTCTCCAGCCCCCAATTTTAAAGTTCTAAGTGTCTCAAAACCTTTAAAGACAGAATATATCTATTTTTAAATAATTTGCAGGAATTAAAATTCAAACTGAGCTTAAAAATAAACATCAGAGCACTATATACAATGGAAAAATGTTAAACAACTGTCTATTAAATGAGGAAAAGTCAAATACATTGCAGTATATTATTTGGTGAACCCAGTTGTAGCTATTCAAAAGAATCAACTGTACAGATATAAAAAGAGCATCATACAATAAAAACAAGCCATAGAAGGTAAATGAGCCCACAGAAGCAAACATATGTATGTAAGATAAAATTCATTTTGTATGTTCACATGTGTATGTATGCATGCGTGTGTGTTTGTGTCAAAGTCAGACGATATGATCTGCGGAAAACCACTCTCTTCTTCTACCCTGTGGGTCTGAGGAATTGAACTTAGGTCTTCAGGTGTGGTGGCAGGCGTCTTTACCAACAGAATCATCCTGCCTACCCACAAACATGTATTTTTAAAGTTGTACTGAAAAACTAGATATTCAAAATGACAAATATCCCACCCAAATCCTGAAAAAAAAAGTATCATTATAGAGTTACAGAACTTCTACAGAAAGCAAAGCAGACAACCTTTGCAAAGTTCAGTTCATAATAGAAGTTTCATACGTTTTGTTCCTGGGCCAGGGAGACACTTGACCAGGTAAAGAAAGGTATTTGCCGATAAGCTTGATGGTCTGAGAATTAACCCCACAAGTTGTTCCTGATTTCCACATGCACATCATGGCTCATGCATACAAACATGCATGCACACAGCTAAATAAAACGCAATTTTAAAAACAGACTGTTTTTTACATTGCATAAAATAGAATGTTAACTACCTTCAAGCTAGTGTTCAAGAAAAGACAGAAATGTAGACTTTCATATGAAATTTTTTAATTTTTCAAAGCTAGCTTAAAATTATTTCACATATAATAAAATCAGGTAACTTTCAAATACTAAATATGCTATTATTCCTTAGGTTGAAATAGAATATTTTTATGTATTCAAATTTTAAATACTAAGTAATCTTTTTTCATTGTGTTTTTGTTTTCTGAGACAGGATTTCTCTGTATAAGTCCTGGCTGTTCTGGAACTCACTTTGTATACCATGCTGGTCTAGAACTCACAAAGATCCACCTGCCTCTTCCTCCCAAGTGCTTTCCTGCTCATTTGAGGACAGTGCAGAGCAGTGAAGACAGACTCCCAGACTCCACATCCAGACCTTTTCAGTGTAAATAAAATTCTATGCCCTGTGTAGTATTACATCTGTTGTGTGTTTGTATTTGCTATTGGTGGTTTCTCTGTAACAGACGCCTCCTGGGTGCTGTGTTGAGGGGCTTTCCCTAGGCACAGAAAGGTTAAAAGGTGTCCTAAACAAAATTAGGTTCCATTCAGCATGAGGTGCTGCTGGCCTTGAGTTAAATAAAGACATGTTTTAAAAGAAGCATATTTAAAGAAAAATAAACATAAAACAATGGGGCTATTTTTGGTTTGAGAGATTTTTGTTTCAATTTTTCTTTTAAACAAGATCTCACTCTGTAGCCCTAACTGGCCTTGAACTCACAGAGATCACCTGCCTCTGCCTCTGAGTCCTGGGATTAGAGATGTCACTACCTCTGGCTAAAACAAGGTTTTGTATTGATTGGTGTGACAAAAATATGCCCAGTGGCTCACAGGAAGCTGACCTGCGGTTTTCCTTCAGAGGAGTACTTGAGGATACATGGCAATTCTATACCCATGGTGACTTGCTGGAACACAACTGACCCAACAGGGACAGTTAAGCAAAGGATATGAAGCCAGTCATCAGTGTCAGATATGCAGAGTAAAAGGAGGGTTTAATAGAGATTTCTTCATATTTTTTTCTCATTGACTATTGAAACAAAAATAAATCTTGTAATAATTAAAATCAATGTATAGTCTACAACTGATGTCTTATGTCATTTCCCATCTCCAGGAATAATCTCTTTTTTTCCTTTTCTTCTCCACAATAAATATGTATATACAAAGGGATAGTTTTTCAAAAGTGAAACAATTACTCTGAGATTTGCTTTTTAAAATATGTAATAATAGATACTGGATATTTATTATTATTATCAATCTACTCAATGAAAATGATGGTTTGCCTCCAAAAACAAAATATTTATGTCAGGATCAGGTGTGTATGCACTTGCACTAAGGGTTGAGTCCACATGCTGAGCTTGCGCTGGCCCAGAGCTTAGGTTTGTGTTACTCGTAGAATGAGGTATTTGACAGCAGTGGTTCAGCTGCTGTAAGCAAAGCTAGCAGATAGACAGGCTTGAACGAGAAAGAAGTTTCTCTTTGTCCAGTAAAAGTACAAGCTAGTAGGCAGCAGGGAACTTTGCCCCTCAGAGCCCTCAACGGTCTAGCCATCACCTCCACTACTATGCTAATTTGAACTGATGAAGTTTCTTTATTACTAACAAGTTCAAATTTCAGGCTGAGACAAGTGGAAGGAGGAAAGAACACAAAGCTTCATTTAAGAACATGACCATGAAGTTATAATTTGTTGGGCAGAATGTGATCACACTTGATACCGTATTTCGAAGGAGTCTCAAAGTGCTGTGTGGACAGCCATGCACAGAAGCCATCACTAAAGGTGAGCAGCTGAGCACAATTACACAGCAGTGAAAGACACTTGGACTCTTCAAGTTACAAGTTCGAAATATAAATTAAGCATATTTAATGCTACAAAAATGAAAAAATGTAGACCTGTGTTTGAACAAAAATGGTCAAATCTTTATAGGATTTGGGTATGAATAATGTGTTTTCTTTCATTTGGTTGTAGCTGTCAAAAGAGAGGCAGCATGACACTTCCTTCTGGGAGGATGACTAAGAAGTCACAGTCACCCTGAATATAAGCAGCAGGTGACAAGGTCTCCAACAGCGAAGGAGGAACTGCAAAGGTTAAGTGTTCAGATGTTAGCTGGGTGGGTCTCAAGTAGAGACAAACGGCAAACACTGAATGCTAGCATCGTGACCACGTCCTCTTGTGGTTCCTGAAGCTGTTTCTCCTCCAGCCGTGGTGGCTGGAGAGCCCCTAAGGTTCTCATTCAGCTCAGGCTAGGCTTGAACTCAAACCTAAAAATGACCTCAGACTCCTGATCCTGCTGCCTCCGCCCTCTAAGTGCTGTGCTACCGAGTGTGCTACCACAGTGCTGTGATGGAGTCTGCACTTCCTACAGTTCAACCATGAGTGGTCCTCAAGCACTAAGAACTTCAAAAGAGAGAAACTGTCCTCGTCTGGAATCTTAATAGTGGAAGTCTTGTACTGAAAAATGACAGTTAAATGCCCATAAATAATTCTTTCTTTTCTTTAAATTTTTAAAAATAACTTATTTGTATTTTTTTGTACATTGGTGTTTTGTCTGCATTTATGTCTGTGTGAGGGTGTCAGATCCCCCAGAACAGGAGTTATAGACAGTTGTGAGCTGCCATGTGGGTGCTTGGAATGGATCCCAGGTCCACTGTAGGAGAAGCAAGTACTTGGAGGCACTGAGTTATCTCTCTAGCTCTACACTTTACTTATTGTTACTGCATGTGCAAGTATGTTTGTCAGAGGACAACTTGTATGGCTCAGCCCCCTCCTTCCACCATGTGAAGACCCACTATTATTATGTATATCATCAGGATAACAATACTAACCACTATAGGCTATATCCTGACTTCAAATATGTATAAATGCTAACCTGTATTGGTAAAATAGGGTGAGCTGGATAGTTTTATGCCAACTAAACAAACTAAAGTCATCCAAGACAAAGGGAACTTTAATTAAGAAAATGCCTCCATAAGATCCCACTGTAGGCAAGTCCATAGGGCATTTTCTTTATTAGTGATTGATGAGGCAAGGCCCAGCCCATTGTGGTGGTGGCATCCCTGGTGGTCCTGGTTCTATAAGAAAGCAGGCTGAACGAGCCACGGGGATAAGTCAGGTGGTTGCACTCCTTTATGGCCTCTGCATCAGCTCCTGCCTCCAGTTCTTGCCCTGACTTCTTTTAGTGACTAGATGCCCTTGTGCAAGCCAAATAAATAAACCCTTTCCTCCCCAGCTTGCTTTGGTCATAGTGTTTCTTCGCAGCAATAGAAACTAAGACACATGGTCATTGCAGCATTTACCGCATGCTAGATGGATCCTAAAACGCTTTCTACTTTTAAACTTACTTAATCTTCATAAAGTCCCAATTAAGATTGTCACTATTCTCTTGACATCCCTTGTCACTTAGAGACAAAGAGATGAGCCCAGCAGCTAGCAAACACAGAACATGGAGTGGTGGGGCAGGAGGAAAGCAAA